CCATGTTAGGGGCCCATGGGTTCTACTTTAGATACTACAGTGCATCCTTGCAACGATGAGTTTGGACCATGTCGTGAGCCAACGGGCTCACGGCCAGCAACAGCTTCCCTATGTTGGGACCTCGCTCTGCGAAGGGTGAAATCACGGCCTACGTTTCGGCCGATGCTGACACATTGATGACAGTCCCGAGCCACCAACCAACGGTTTGAAGCCTGCATCTTAATCCCCAGCACATCGCACCACGGGACTTATTATGCGTGACTGGAACACATGCAGGGACTGTCACTATGCACGAACTATGCTGCAAAAACTATCGAATTTCTTCCTACATTGGACCTGCAGGCAGTGGCTGTTGCATCGCTCATCGAAGAATGATAACAACTACAAGCTCGACTACATGATTCGTGATTCGGATTGCAATGCCCTTCACTGACACAATCCTCGGGCAAGCTCGTTATGCTGGCATGTCGCCTAGCCGCTGCAGGTCCTTGCGCTGGATCACGTGCCGGATCGTGGCATCAGCAGCGCCTCCGGGCGAGCTGAAAGCCCGAAGCCTCGTCTTCGCATACTGCATACTGTGATATACACGTACAGTAAAATGCACCCTGCACGTATGTGTATGTGCTTGTCGTGGCTGTTGCAGGAAGAGCCAGACCATCGCTAACCAGGAGTGTGGAAAAGTCGCAATTGTCAGGCCTCTAGTGGGAAGGCGGAGCAGGTGGAGCATCGTCCAGCCACCGCTCAACCTGCGCAGGCACCGCATTGAAGGTACTGTAGCTTGATGGCTGATGCACACTTTGAAGCTCCCCGCCATCGAGAGACTTGTTATCTTTGAAGCTCTTACAGGAAGCAAAAGACAACAGTCTTCAGACCACTCGTGCTGCTCCCTGCCGGATTTGTGCCTTGTCATCCTTCCAAATGCCTGTTCGGCTCTGGCCCTGAGCGTTTGTGTAGGTCGCCTGCCTGGAGGGCAAATCCAGCACAAAAAGCGCTACGATGCCCTCCCCAGCAGTCACTCCCTGAGCCGAGGCGATGGCCCGCATCGCAGCCCCTCCTGGACATGGCAGCATACTCGGATGAGCTGTATTAACTACGGTAGAGCCCGGATGTGCCGAGAGAGCGTTTGCCCAATCTGGAAGCAATAAGCCCCCCCTTGCTGGGCTCGTTGAGTCTGTGTTCTGTTCCACCCGCCCGTGTTCCGGTGTTTATAATCACGTGTCGAAACTGCTACTACTACGACATACTACGACAACAAGGTTGCGGAACACCGTCAGGCTTGCAAATTCGCTTGAATGTCGCAGCCAGGATCCCACCGCGATCGCGGCTCCGACTCGCCGCATCCATCGAGAGGATCTGGGGGATCCGGCTTGCTGCAACTTCCCCCTTTGCAATATCCGGTGGTTTTAGGATCACTGTCCAATTCCGTTTCCCCAAGTCTGGCACGATTTACGCGTGGCAAGCCGAAAATCGTCGCGGCACCACAGCGCAGCCACAAGCCCATATCGCGTGCCTACACCTCCAGGACAAGCGAGATGGTTGTAATTTCGAGGAACAAGCGCCAGTGTGAGTTGGAAATGGGGATCGCGATGACCCCAAGAAGCGGACACGCCGTTTCCACATTTCCACGCAGAGGGACATTCCAGAACCGCACGAAGCGCTCGTCTTGTTGTCCCTCAAAACGAAGAACGCGAGCGCGTCGCGGTGCAAATATGAACACGATGTGCAGTGCCCCGTTTGACAAGAAAACGTGCGGTTCGGAAGAAGGCGACGTGCTGTATGCAGCGCAAGCCGCAAGGGTTCCTCGAGCAGAGGGCCGAGTCTCGTTGGATCGTGCCGATCGCACGACACTCCGGGAAGGTTGCCACGGTTGCCATGTTCGGGAGCCAGACGGCGCATCTATTGTACAATGGATCGCCGGCCCCAACAGGGCACGGCGGCTCCTGCCATCCCCGGGCCAGCTTTAAACCAAGTTAACGTAAGAAATAAGTAAAATTAGGACACAATCGTGCTTCAACTGCAGAAGGGCAACACTGCGTGGGAAGATTTAAGAGTGTGCAAATCATAACTATTTTTGCCTCGGGGGACTTGTCTGCACAATGGCATAATCGGGCATGCCATGCCAATGCGGGATTTACGCAATCCCTCATCTTGGTAGCTTCTTGGACGGCTAGGATACCGCCGCGCAACTGTAGTAAAACATCTCAACCCGCCTCCTAACCCTGCCTAGATTTGCCTACGGCCTACGCCGGTGCGACTCATGAGTTTCAGCTGGCTTCGAAGTGCTCTTTCTTTCGCCAGGCTCTCTCGCTCTCCACTCAGTATGATGGGGGAGTCAAGTCCCCGAGGCATCACACTCTCAGTCTTTCTCTCTATGCATTTCTTGGCACTCGCTCTCCACCAGGTCAGGCGAGGATGCCAGGAGACTGCATACAGATCTCGGTCTGTCCCGCGCTCACGCACCCGCACACGCACACACCCCCACACCTTCCTTTTCATGTCTATTCTGAGAACGCTGGAATTATGTGGTGCATTATGCGGCTCTGCCTTCCAGCCGCCTTCGTACATGCGACCGTCCGGCCAAATGTATTTGCCTGGGCAGGCACTGACAGCGTCAACTCAAGCACCACGGACAGTCCAAAGCCGTGCATCCTAGCCACCGTGTCCGTGCTTCAAGTCTTCGAAGTATTCGCCATCGTACAACATCAAACCTGCAGGTGAGCAGTGGGCTGCTCGATAGTGCATGAGATGTCTCTACAGTAGTAAGTGCAAGCATTAGCTCGTGTCCTAGTCACCATGGTAGCACACAGCAGACGCCGTGCAGAGCCTTTCGGCGTGTGCCACTCCATGCCTGAGTGCACGACAATCGCAATCATGTTTGGCACAGGGTGTCCATCCAGGTCAGGCCCCATCAAACCCTGGACCGTTTCCCTGCAGACCAGTTGCGGCCCTTGCCGTGGAACTTGCCTGAGCAAGACGGGACAAGCCTTTGCAACGTGCGGGATCGGTGCTGTCGCACGGCTAGTTACTGTTTCCCAAGCACCTCCATTTCAAAGCAGCTGGAAACTCGATATTTCCTAAACAAATCCGAAAAACCTGGATCTCTTCCCAACCTTGTCAAGCTCGTCTCACTGCCAAGCGGCCTTGCTTGAAGTTTCCCTCGTATGCCCGGCCGTCTTGCCATGTTTGCTTCCCCTGTCCAGACTTCAAGAGTTGAGTCCGGCGATACGAGAAGTTGAACGGCAGAATGAGGCTCTCACCCTTAAACACATACGAAGTACTTGACACTGCCTTTGAATGTACACGCTGGCTTCTTCCGATAAATGATTCCAGTCCTGTTTACCTCCAGGAGTGGCATCAAGTCGACACACATAGACTCTTGCATCCCCACTTCAGGCATGACTGTGCCACGAGTTTCTGAATACGGGATGACAACGACCCCGTGGAGCACCGTCAACAGGATTGTGTGACCTCTTTCGCCCTTTGTTGCTACATTCAACTTGCGACTGTACAGATCTCCCGGAAATCTTGATCTCCAGAAGGAGCACGGCCCCCCTCGCAGCTGCGAGGCTGCACAGGCCACTGTCGAAAAAGGTCTCCGACACTTCTGCACAGGACACGGCCCTCCTCGCTGGTTGCAGCGAGGCTGCAAAGGCCTCTATG